GGCGGCCGGGTTTCGATCCCGGTGATCGCAGGTCTGGTACCATAGCCCAGAAATGGCCGCTATACAAGGGATGTTCCAGCCCCCTAACAATAAAAAAATGCATCTTTGCAACCAGGTGGCGCAATTGTCAGGGAGAGGGGGAATATTGGATCTGCTGCCATCTCTACGCAGACAGACCGAACTAGATAGTTAGAACCAATCACAATACGATTATTGCAATATATCGAATCGCATATGTGTGACCGAATCACAGTACACCTTTTGCAATATTTCAACGTTGGTGGCGGTAGGTGGCGTCGAGGCGTTGTCTTGAACGTCTTGAAGGTCTCGAAAATAGTATAGATCGATATAGATATTTTATTTGGTAGTGAATCAAGAACTGACGTTTACTCTTTAAGTTACATCGCTATGTTATTTCTGTATATGAATGGCGTGCTTACTACGCAGAATTCGGTTAGAAATATGTATGAAGTGAAAAATTCCTGCTAACTATATTTCCGTAGGTTATGCAGCTGAAAGAAGGTCCGTAGAATCTCGAAATTCACCATGTACTGTGATTGTGTTATAATTTCTGTATTGTTTCTTGCAGGATAAATGGGAGGAAAGAAATTTTACGCTGCCCCTGGGTGTACGTCATCCAGTAGGCAGACTGGTTTGAAACTCTTAAACTTTTCCAGAGATTCAGTACGATAAGTCTGTCTTAATGGGTTTGTTATGTGTTACATAATCCAGCGAAGAAGTTAAGTTTAGCTAGTGTCTGCATTAAATGTATTAAACTTTACCCCTCATCCTAGCACCGGCACCATGACAAGTATAATATTGTAACCAGCACCATGTTTGTAATACTTATAGATGAATTATTTCAAGGTTTTGAGACAATATGTAATACTCTTACAGGGCTGTGGTATGGACAGGAAGGGTTGGGATATCCTGCACCATTGATTCTGCTAGAATGCTGCACTATAAATTTTTGTGCACTAGAAAGTGATTTCAGTACAACTGAACAGATTCGCAGTTCCATGTAGATCAGATTCTGCAGCACAATCACTCCCACAACCTCCTTATCATTACACACCATTCCAGGTAAGCACTATATGCTTCTTTTATGAATGCAGTGGCCAATAGTGAGGACTAGTTTTCAAAGTTATTGTTCCAAGACCCCACTTGTAATCAAACAAATGTCATTGTCATAATTTATTATTGATTGATTGATTGATTGATTGATT